GTTGATTGCTTCGTCCATGTTACCTACAGCTTAATCATCTGGAGTATGTACAGAGGTAAAGGCAACTCAGTGTTGTAATCCTGATTTTGTGCTAGAGACTCTTACATTTTTTTCTTACACCTATCGCAAGCTAAAGCTCTTGAAATCTAAAACACAGGCAATTCTTGGGAGAAACGTACCCCCCCACACACACCTTTAATCCTTACTCATGCTTGGTTTAGGTATTTGTTCATCCAAGGAGGATGACTTGGTATTTCCTTTATTATTTAAGAAGATATCCATGCAAAATTGAAACCTTTTATTAGCCTTTGGTCTAACGGGCAGTAGCTTCTGCAATGGTAATAGCACATGTTAATATTTTGCTTTGAATCCTTTGATCTGGTAAGGAATATGACTTTAAAAATCTTGCTTTCCATAATATATTAAACAACATTCAAACAACTGGAAATGAGATTTTTTTTAGCAATACCTCCCGCATGCTAAATTCCTATAGGAGAAGGTACATAAAATGGACTTAATAGCCCTAGACCTATGGAAGTATTTTCCTCTGCATTTTCACTAAAGCCTTAAGCCTTGAGATTCATTAGGAAGCAAGAGGAGATGTTTCTGTCTGAAAGGCATTTGGCCAGTGGGGGTTACATTAACAACATCACATTGGCTCATTCCCTGTAAGAATTCAGCACAGTCTGACGACAGTGATCAGTGTGTTGAACATATATAGGGTGGATCCCTCTAAGGCACTGCCAGTTCCTTTTCTCCTAGCTTCTGAAGCCAGCAGGGATGGGTTTCAAACCATATCATGGGACAAAATGCTGCTGCTCTGTCCTCTCTCTGACCTGATACAAGAATCTTAATCTTCATTATGGAGGCACTCCTGACATTTACAGCGACAGTGCCGGCATTCTAGATGAGAAAGGCAGTAAAACCAGTTCCATTCCACATGCCTGCGCCAGGTGGAGCAGATTCTCTCAAATCCATTGGTCCTGCTGGGCCAGGGATGCTCATACAGTATCACCCAAGGTGGATCCTTAAAATGTCCTTGGCAAATCTGATTTGAACCCTCTTATGTAAACTTGGTGCATAGGCAAGCACCCACAACATGCTTGCTTACAATTTCATTTACTTTGAACAGTGTTATTGTGAGTGAATGGAAAGCAAATTACAACCATCATTTAATATCTACCCAGTTAACACATTAGGGTCAGTTAACATCAGGCTCACTATGCATTTCTTAACCTGCAAGTAGTTGTAATACATGCCTGGCACTTTTTTGTGTATTCATCCCCCAAAGAGATTGCAGTGTGTCATTTGACTCTGAACACTCGGATTATGAGAGGATTAAACAACCCATGTATAACCAGTACAACAAACCAAAGGTGTGAACAGGGTTATAGGGTGCTTCTAGAATGGCATGTAGAATTGCAATTGACTTTATATACATTGTGGATACAGTGGTCTGAGTATGGGTATTGTCAGACTCTCCTTACCAATGGTAGGAATGAACACTCAGACCCGTAGAGAAGAATGAATTGCCTTGAACCCCAGCGTGAGATCACCCAGGAACCCCTGCAGTTTACTTACAACAGCATGCTACCAGGTAGCAGTCCTCACAGTCAAATACAAGCTTTTGGAAGGTACACAGAGTGTTTTATATGTTCTGAGTCACATGCACAAACAGGGCAGGCCATGACAAAATAAGGGGAACACAGTGAAAAAGAATGTGAGAGATCTCCTGAGGAGACTTAATACAATAGCGTTGATTACAAGAGATTGACTTAAAGATTCGGGAAGGCAAGGATTGTTAACTCTTAGCTGTGAGTTTGATCATGCAAATTAGGATGATTGCAATGCCACTAAAAATTTCTCTGGCTGGCTTATCAGTTTTGTTGCTGGTAGCACAAGAATAGCTGCTCTCAGGAAAGCTGAGAGTTCCAGTCTCTTAAAGGAACAGCAATGCTAGACAGTAACCTGGCTTGGACAGTAATCTGATGGTAACCTGGCTTTCTGACAAAGGGGCATAGGCTTGATTTTATAACACAAAGGCACATATAAGCAACCTTTTTCTACCAGGATTTCTCTGAGGTCCCCAACAGTATCCATGCCACTCCGCTTAGCACTGCTAGTGGATGTGACATAACCTTGTGGTTGGGTAAGTGACCACACTCCTGTGCTCACCATTTTAGCAGTGTTTATATTAAATGTTTAAAATTTGTCCTATCCAAACAGAAGGGAGAGTAACACTAAGGTGATCCCCATCTACAGAGTGTAAGCTGACATTCTATTTGTGTAGAAAATGTTCAATTTTATACGATTCCTAACAGCTGGGAAAAAAAGCATGGAAAAAATGTGGGAGAACAGTGGGTTCATGTAACTGTAAAAGTAAGTAACCATTCTAGAGTGAATGCCTAACTGTGGAAGATCTTTAAATTTTTGTTTCCTCAGCAAAAATGCTACTGGGTAGGAGTGGTAACTTTTTATCACTAAGCATTGCATTCCATTGGCAGAAATCTGATAAGGGCCACATTCTGGGCAGCAACAGAGTAATTGTGGGTGGGACCAAGCAAGTCTCACTTGACACACCCACACAATCTTTTACCTCTCCTTTTAGTGAAGAGAGGTTTCCCCCTCCCTTTTCCAGCAAGAACACCCTGTAAATTTGCAGATCTGGTGCAATTCGGTAGGACAGCCGCTGGGAAGTTAGGGGCAAATTTGTCCTTCCTCAGTTCGTAGTCTGGCCCTACAGGGTTCTCCACAGAGAGCCATTCTCTTTCTCCTGGCTGTGCCTCCCCCCCCCCCACGCCCCACAACTACTTATTGTTTGATTTTTTGGCCTTTGTGTACTTCTGCCTTCCCCATTCTAAAAGGTTGAAATGCCTCTCCTAAGGTTTAGTTACTGGGACCAAAGGGCTTTAATCTACAGTATGCTAGTTTTATCTGTATTTCTGTCCTCACTTGTTGTTTTCCTCCAGTCTCATCCATCACTGGAATGTAGTCCCAAACAGCTTCTCTGAATGGAATTCATTCCTCAGACTGGAAGTGGTTCCCCAGCCCTATGAAAGAAGCTATTCAGAGTTGGGCAACCTGCAGAAGCAGGAAAGGCTGAGCAGGACCTGGGAGGTTGTATTGGCCTTTGGGTTGCCCATCTGTACTAGAAGTATAGAGATCTACGATTATAAAGACACGGCACATTTTAAGATCTGTGTCCCACAGAATGCCATACATGTTTCAGGACATGGTGTATAGGAAGAGAGATAAGAGCATGAGTGATCAGCTGGGAAGGATGTTTCCAGATGAGAGCCAGTGTAGCGTAGGAGTTAGACTGGCAGACCAGGAAGAGTTGGCATTCAGTACAAATACAGGCAAGCAGCATCAGGCTCTGCTAGCACCAACCCTTGTCTTTATGTGACAAGTAAATTGTTCTCCAAGGGTTTAAATGGTGATTTGCAATGGTTTTTATAGCTGTTTTACTGTTTACTTTCTGAGTTTAGTATGGTTTAGACTGATGCTGGTCATTATGTTTTTAACTGCCCCATGTTTTATTGTGGCTTTGTATAATGAACTATTTTGGAAATACTATGTAAACAAGATTGGTGTACAATTATTTTAAATAAAATTAGTGAAACTCACTGGCTGCTCTTGAGCCTGTCACACCCCATCCTCTGATTTACCTCACAGGGTTGTTCAGAGGATAAAAAGAGGTGAGGGGACAGAAATTGAGGCAATTTCCTGGGCTCTTTGGTGGATCGTCAAAGTTCTTTACACTGTAGTCTCATACATATATACTCAAAAATAAGTCCTACTGCGTTCAGGGACCCATGGTATACTCCCAGGTAAGTGTGAGTAAGATTGCAGCTGCACACGTTTAAGAAAGGTGCTATTACATGAAAGCACTGGGAATGCATAAAGCACACTCTTAATTCTTAAATATATATTGCTTTCTTCCACAGCTCTCTTTAGAACATAATTTATACCTGGTGCTAGAAAAATGTGGACAAATTTATACTTCTATCTAAAGATTTGTTGGCACACATGCAGCAAATGCGAACAGCTTTTCCTTTAGTGCAGAACACCCTCTGTAAGAACGCACCTTGGCTGACGAATGTGCTAAAATTCAACGTTGTGTACGCTTTGCTTTTACGAGCGTTCGCTTACCTGTGTTCAGTGCAAACACACTTAACCTTGTGGTATTGTTATGTGCACACCAAAGAGTGGAGGGAAGTGAAACGTTTGCACATTATTGATCCATTCTATTAAAAAAGTGGGCAAGAGTTCTGCAAAGTAACTCGCCCGTTTCGAGAGAATACATTAAAGTCTGTGTCCACAATCGAACTCTGCTCGCCGGACAATGTCTTTTTACTGCCGGCGATTCTCATACATCGAGCCGATCTAACCCTAACAACCTCAGGTCTGAGTATCTTGCACCTCACTGATTTCAGTGGCTCTAATTTGTGAGTAAAAATGGATCTAACAGCATATTTACTACAGAGTACTTCCCAGTTAACTCGACGGGACTTCTGAGTCAACTTGTTTACTTCGTGATCAAAATATGGTTAGGGTTGGGTGAGAGTCTGCAAACGCCTGCGTATAGTTTACTGGGAACCGTGTAAACCGCATTCAATAGTGCGATGCTTCTACGAAGTCCTCGCTCCGTCCTATGGGAACAAGGACGAAATTAAAGAGGGAGAGCGCATTGTGATGGAGAAGAGGGCGCATTCCGCGGGAGAGGGAGCGCGCGCGAAGAACCCCGCACGAGCCGGCGTCCCCGGCGCGGGCCAATGAGAGAGGCGGAAGGGAGAAACGGGGCGGGGCGTGGGCGGCCCGGCTGTCTCCGCCTCCAGGGGAGCGCGAGGGCACACAGGCGGGGGAGGAGAAGGAGGAGGCACTCTGGGGCGAGAGGCTCCCGGCTCCGCGGAGGGTCGCCGCCTCCCTTCCCGGGCTGCACCTCCTGGCAGGGGTTCCCGTCCCTCCCTCGGCAGGGCGCTCCCTCCTCTCTCTCGCTCCTCTCCCTTCGCGGCTCGCTTTCTTCCCCTTCGCGTTCCTGGCGAGCAAGCCCCTTCCCTTCCCCCGCCCCTCATTGTCTCGAAGAGCGTATTGCCCAATTTTCTCCGGGCGAAGGAGAAAACTAACTATGGACGAGGACAAGGTGGCCTCCGCGGCTGCTCCCGCGAACACCACGTAGAAGAGCCGCCGCCGCCGCCCCCTTTCTTTCTCTTTCCTTTCGTCGGGTGGAGCGGGGCTTCCTCCTCCTCCGGGGGCTGCAGCCGCCGCCGCCACCGCCTCTGCCCCGTTGTTCGTGGGCGGCCGGGCGCCGCTTTCTCCGGGGGCGCGCTCCCACGCCCAGCCCAGCCCAGCCAGATGTGCGACCTGCTCGACTCGCAGCCTCCGGCCGAGCAGAAACTCAGCAGGATGAAAAAGTTGCGGCGAACTTTGTCGGAGAGTTTCGGCCGACTAGGTGAGCGAGCGGGTGGGCAGGCGGAAACGGGTCGGTGGACAAGTGGACTCCGGGCGGCTTCTTGCTGCGTCCCGGCAACGGAACATCCCGCAGGGTACCGCCTTCTCTCTCCGCCACCCCATGCCCTCCAGACGCGTTGGAGTACAGTTCCTATAATCCGTAGCCGGCTCGCCCATTGCCCATGCCGGCTGGGGATTGTGGGAGTTGTAGTCCGACACATCTGGAGGACACCTGGCCCGAGCGCTGCGGTGTACCCTGAGCTTCCTGGGGGCGATCGCATCGCGACTCATTCTGGGCAGCCCGGCTGCTCCTTCTTAGTATCTTTATTCCCAGGGGATGCTCGGGGGAGCTCTTATTCCAGGTTGCTTTGCCAGACCGCGCTCAGATTTAATTTTATTGCCGTTCTTTCTCATTTCTTCTTTACAGAACTCGTGATTGTTTAGGACAGAGTTTTCCCTTCATCCTCACTGCAACCCTATGAGGTGGTTGAGGCTGAGAGAAAAGTGGCTGGCCAGCTTTGGCTCTCCCAGTGAGCTTCATGGCTGAGTGGGGATTTAAAGAAGGGTTTTCTCAGTCTTGCATTTGGGTGTTTTAGCTGGCTACCTTCATCCCTGACCATTCTGTGAGTGAGAGGCACATGTTTGTGTGTGCAACATCTGGCTGACTAAAGATTGATTTTAAAAAGTTGCAGCACCATCCAAATTTCTGTACTGTATACTGACTTCATTGCAGTTGGTTCCTGATCTAAGTGTACATGAGATTTCAGCCCCAGTGTACACTTGGGCGAGAAACCTGGAACTGCTGGCACATAACGTATGAGATGACCCAATTCTAATGTTCTTTATTAATGTGAGTACAGAATTAGAGGATAGAAGTTACACTTCAGTGATCAGGAATATATGCCAGATGATGTAGGTTCTGGAAGTTTATGTAACCCAGTGGTTCATTTGGGTGGGCTCCCCAGAATCACCCCCAGCCCATTCTAGAAGGAATGAGTCACAAATATAAACTGACTCAAAAGAAGCTGATGCTAAAAAGTGCAATAAGTCTGCAGCAACATGTGGCACTGAATTTGAGGGGTGAGATTCTGTCATACTCATCCTTGGTATTCTTGCTGTAGCAAAACGACTTTTTTATTGTTTTATTGTCATATTCAGTGATACAATTTTAAAAGTGAGAAATGTAAAGCAAAATAGTTTCTTTTAATCCATTTTCTCTGGTGGAGTAGAAATAAACCGGAATGGAGGTTTCCAGATGGCTTAGTGGTCAGAGAAACCATCCTTGGAATGCTTGGTTGGGTCAGATCTTGCCAGCCAGCCAGCCAGCCAGCCAGGATAACATGGATGCAGAAGTCCTTCCTCATGGCATGCTTTGCTTTTCCTTTGATTCTTGATTAATATTGCTCTGAATCTACAGTGCTGCTGGCTTGCTGACTCACAAAGGCTTGCAGTCTGATCCATCAAATAAGAAAAATACGTTTATTTTTCTTGCTTGGTACCTTTCATTCCCAAGCCAAATGGGCCACTGGCAGTGGTGCAGAAATAGAAAAATCATTCTTTGATTCCTAATGTGTTTAAGCTGAATATAAATGGTGTGGTTTCTGTCATCTTAAATCTTATGACCACTCCTCTTCTCACCACACCTCCAAAAGTTTCTAGTTATTTTCTGGTATCTGTTGCTTTGTAACCACAGATGTCAAGAAGAGTATGGTGGAATACAAAGTATGAGTGTCATGAGTAACCACAGCAGGTAAGGCTCTGTGCTTCTGTAAGACACTTTACAGTGCAACCCTGAACTCTTCTGAGAATTCTTCTATGCTGTATTTACTTTAATTTGAAAAGGATTTTACTTGTGAGCACTGCTTAACTAGGGAGCAAGTTCCATGGAACTTAGCTGTAAGTTCAGCTCCAAGCAAACACTGGATCAGGCTGCAAAACTGTCTTCGTATTACTAGGCAGAAGACAGAAAAAATGGCTCTACTTTATTGTAAAAATAGATGGATGATTAACAGAAATGAGAGTCTGAGAATATATGTTGTGAGACGGAAGGACTCCCACTTCAGTGTGTGTGAAATGAGCCTGATAGTGAAAGGGTTGATGATTGGAAGATTCCAAATGTCCAGTTTTCTAGTCATCCAGGGTAGGGTTGGAGGAGGAGCAGCAGAGGTGGTCCTTGCCTCCCTATCCCTCCTCTCTGCATTTTTCTGGATTGGTTTTTCTGTCCATTTAACACAGCACTTTGACAGGGACAAGAAGGAGGCTGAGGATAGCTGAGGCCTTCGTTTCTCCTGTCTCCTCCACTTCCCTTTTCCTCATCACATTTTCAACTTTGGGTGAGGGCAACTGGTTCATTCTGCATTAGCTGCAAGGGGTCAGGGGAGGAGGGTCAGGTTTCTGATTTCTCCTTCCAAGATTGAAGCACTGTGATTGCTTCTTAAATGAAATTCTGCTTTAATTGCCACTGGCTAGCCTAGAAAGTTCAGCATGTATAGAGGAAAATGAAACTAGCTTTTTAGTTCTATCTACTGATGCACTTTATACGTTAGCTGTGGGGGTGGAGGGGGCACTTGGGCAGGATGGGCGTTTCTTATTATTTATTTATTTATTAAAACATTTTTAGATTGAGGTGAGATCGCTGAGAATAGTGAGTGATACTAGTCTGGCATCTTTTGCTATATTTTATCATCTTCTACTAATTTGCATGCTAATACATCTAATGCATGATGTGTGCTACCCACATTTCTGACGTCACTAAGCAGTTACAAGGTTGAGTGCTTTTGGCTCTCTGTTGTATTGTTGAAAATGAAACCCTAGAAACTACTTCTTTGGGCCTAAGCTAAAATTTTCCTGTCAAATTGTTTCCACTTGGTTCTGCTGGCAAATGCAGAAGTTTAAAAAGTACACGTTGACAGTAGTAACTACTTTCTAATCTGTGTAAATGACAGAGTTTGGGAAGGGATGTGAAAACCTCTGGAAAAATGCAAGTAGCCTGGGAAATATGCAGTTCCTTCAGATGAAGGTAAAATAGAAGCTTCATTCATGCTATTTGATCATCTTATCTGATGGCTTAAAATTGTAACTCATGCTTAAATATTTCCTCCTTTGAGATGGTGTAAGGATTCAAGAACTTTCATGAAGGTGAAACTTTTAGATCTACCACAGCAAGGAAGGGATCGCCGGATTTGATTGTCACCAGTCATTTTATTTATTTATTTGTTTCATTTTTATTCTACCCCAGAGCCAAATCTCTCTGGCCAGTGTACAACTGTGCATAAAAACAAAGCAATAAAATAAAATACAGATATAAAAAAACCAGAAGTATCATTAAAATGAATTTGAAATAGCTAAAACATACAATAAAATGACCCTGTTGAAGGAAGATCACCTCAGATGATAAAGCCATTCTGTATCCAGAAACCCCTGGGTAGCTGATCACCCATAAGTTAGCTCTGTAGGGCCCCTGAGTAAGTGTACAAGTTTTGTATAGTGAACCGCAGTGGTTGAAGGATCCCAGATGCTTGCTGCTTCCTCTTTCTGTGCTTTTTAAAGGCTACTGTTTATGTGAGCATCTCTCTGAAGATGGATGGGAAGCAAGCCTGGAGCTTCTTGTTTCCTGAAGTTTCTCCTGCTTGATACTGGAAGCTCAAGATCTACCAGCTGGAGTTAGGAGCAAAATCGCAGATTTGGAGGAATAGGTTGAACCAGCTGTGAAACAGTGGCTAAGACTTTACTTCCCTATTGCACCCCAAGCCATGACTGGGGTGATTGCATATAAAATATAAAACTTATCTGATATAATCCCCTAATTTGGGCAATGGCTGGCCAGGGGTGAAGAAGGGGAATCTTTTGGTGTTGTGATTACTAAACAGTTGAGAATCTGAAATATTTGGCAAACCATTCAGCCATCTACTGGTAGATCTTGTTCTTGCTTCTACCTTCCTCTATTCTGCTGTGTCTGGTCACTTTAATCTAGGAACAAGTGGGAATTAAAGCCAGCTAAGTGTCTAAACCGTGACCATTGCTATTTCCTGTAGCAATACATTTCATTCATTCATTGTGAGAACTTGAGCCCTGTTGGATCAGACCAACAGTCCTTGTTTGATAAGTATCTTTTTTCACACAATGGCCAGTCAGATGTCTCCAAGAAGTCAGTTATCAAGGCCTGAAGTCATGAGGCCCCATAGGCTGTGGCTGATCAGATATTCCTTGACATGTTGCCTCAAAACCTGCATGTCCAGTTTAGTTTTCAGGTCTAATAGTCACTGATAGGCTTGTTCTCCATGAAGTAGTTAATTCCCCCTTCAAGCCTATCAGAAAGTTCTCCAAAGCCCTAGAACAGAGATGGCCAATTGCATGGGGTCTGGACCATTTTTGCCTTCCCAGTGTCCCCCATGGACTTGTCTTTGGGTGAGACACCCTCAGTGAGTACCTTTTCACTGTCACTAGTTGCTAATGCCTCTCCATGCTTATCATTGCTTCCACTTAACTGTTTAAGAGGCAAAGACACAATGTGGCATCTCTTGCTCCTCTTCCTCACCAGTACCACTGTTTAGCCCCAAGAAAGATTCAGGTGAACAAGCCAGTTGCCATGGTGAAGAGGAAAAGCATCTCCTGGGTCCTCCTGTGGGCCTCTTCTGGAGTATGGAGGAACCTATCAGAAAGCTTCAGCTACAGGCAGTATAGAAATAATCACCTAAGTTTAGTTGTTCTTTAGGTGTTCAACTGACCCTGAAAGAGTTAATTTTGATTTGTAAAAAGGAAGAAAAGCAGGGGGAGTGCATTGGCACAAAGCCACATTTTAAGTCTGGAGCAAATATTTATATCTCAGTACAAATCTTTGGATGGTTCTGTGACAATAGGATATACTTTTAATCCATATGCTTAGCTGGGTGTAAATATTTTTAAAGTTGTGCATGGTATTGATTTGTAATGGGAGACATGCTTATCTCCCCACACTTGAATAACCTGTAGAGCATGGCTCTAATACAGCCTTTGTCTTGAAATGTTTGTTTTCTATATTCAGGGTCCAGTTCTTTGGACGTGAAACAGAAGTGACTTTTCTGCATGTTTGAATCAAGTATGCTGCATGTGATACCAGCTTGTGCAGTAGATGGATCACAAGTTGCTTTGATAGTAGTTTATCGTAAAGGGATTTGGAGTAGCTTGTATGCAGGTGGCAGGTCATCTCCACTGAGGACTACAAGGGTCCAAACTTGTTTGGTTGCAATAAACAAGAGTTGCACCTTTGGACTATGACACTCTACTAGCTTTTATAACAAATTCAAATATTAAAGGGTCACAGTCATACCAGTTCTTTTGTCTGAGCAAAATACCTAATAACTGAGAAAATATAATTCCACCAGATGAATAATGAGCTGGTTCACATCCTACCTTCATAGTTAACACATGGACCTAGGACAGTGAGTATTCAAAGAGCAACCCTCCATATAAATCAGATAATTAAATTAGCTCTTTATCCATAGTACAATTCTGGGTGTGGCTTCCATCAGAGTTTAGGTGGGTGATGTTGGGTGGGTGAGGTAGGCTCCTTTGGTACAAGGGTGTTAAAAGATTATGGATACAGATTCTGACTCCGGGGGGGGGGGGGGACCATTCTTGGTGGTGGCTTCCTGACTCTTTCCAGAAAGGTGAGTCTGGTGTTTACACTTGCCTTTTAGGAGCTAAGTGAAGGTTACCTTTTAACTAGTTCTCCCAGGATTTTACCTTCCTTTCTCCTGCTGCTGCTGTAGTGGATTGACGGTTGTATTTGTTTATTTTTGTTCTGTGATCTTGCCTGGAAAGGTGGTATGAAAAGGTGGAAATGCAGAAATATGGTATGTAAATATTTAAATGAATTCACCCTAAATGCAAAATTGTTACACATTGGGTGCAAACCTGTGGCTGCCAGATGCTGTATAGATGACCATAAGAGGATAATGCTGATGATTGGACTGCATTTCAATCTTGCCTTTCCCCCCCTCTTCACCCAATTTCATCCTCACAACAATTTTGTATGGTGGGTTAGGTTGAGAGTGAGTGATTGTCCCAAAGCCACACTGGTTTTCAGAGTCCCAGTTCTGATCAGGTTAGCGCTGGGACTCTGACCACAGAGTGCTCCTCTCCCGGCCTTACAGCCAGTCTGGTTCATTCTGTGCAGGCTACAGCTCTGAAGTTGCAAGTGCAACTTTGGAGCCAGCACTGGGTAGGTCATCAGCACAGGCAGGGAGGGTGGGAATGAGGCCTCTGCCAGGTTATGAGGAATCCCGGCAGTGCCTTAGCTCTTCTTAAGAGGTCCAAGACACAGATTACCAAAATCTGTGACTTGTGCAGGGTGGAATTTTGCCTCCTCCTGCACTTTGATTCACAGCCAGTAATCCTCTGAATTTGGAGGGTTATAGGCAGCCAAACTGAATGATCCTTTTAAGAAACTATTTTTCTCTGTGTGAAAATACTATGCATTATAGAAAGAAACTGGGAAGAGTAAGACAGAGCTTGCAAACTCTAGGACATGGCTAAAAAAATTCATCAGTGAGGTAATTGCAGGATTCTGGCAATTCCAGCATTTTTCTTATGTGTGTTAAGAACTCGTTTGCCAATAACTTGGTTTACCTCTATACCATTCAGCTGCTGCAAGTTAACAGCTGTTCTCAATTTTTCCTCTGTGCCCTGGGTGTTAAACATAATGTGATCGTTTCATTCCTTAGTAATAAAAAAAGCCTAAGATGTATGTTTCATTGGAAAAGGCTGCTTTGTGTATGGAATGGCAGATAACTTCATTTTGGTAATTTTGGAACTTTAAAATCCAAGCATTGGTTGTAAAATTGTGCCAATGGTCTAATACTTCGGCCATCTACCTAATGGCACTGGTGTTAGTATAATGCTCTAAATGTGTCAGTGTGAAACTTGGAAGTGGTTACTTCCAAATGGGTTACAGTGTTGTCTTTTATGTACCCACACTTTTGAAAGCCTGTCAGCAACATCTCAGGAAGTTCCAAACTAATAGCTTTTAAAACCTCCTTGGTGTCATGATGGAGAAAGCAAGGCGAAGTGCATTTATGACCATATTTTCTTTTCTAGTATTTGTAAAGTCATGAAACACAAGCAAACCTTTTAAAGGCAGTATTGGAATTCAACATCGAAGCATCATTGTGTGGGGAGGTGGCAGATAGAACAATGGGTAACATGGGTCTTTCCTTATACATGTACTATGATTCCATCCCTATATACAGTTGCATATAATATAAGAACCCCTTCTATTTTAATTCTGAAATAATATATTTTTAAAAATTATACCAAAGCTTATGTTGGGACTCCACATAGGCCATGTCACACTCACTGTGTGTGAGTGTGCACTAGATGTTTCTGACATGTATTTTGAACCAGGAAGTCCTACCATAATACTGGTTTCTACTGTCCCTGCCAAACTAACCTGGCTACTGTTCTGGAAATTGTTAGAACATGAGGCTTCAGTGAGTCCCACTGAAATGAGTGAGAACCTGTCAGTCTCATGAACCCTGTAAGGGATGTACTCGTATCACCATGTCTGATGGCTCCACCCTGTCGATCCAGAATTTCTGTGTTGGGAAGAGTGCTCTGAAGGGGGCTTTTGCTCACATTTGCTGGAATGCAAGTAGAACTCACACAGAATTTAGACCCTGATAAAGAAGAGTCCCTGACTGTTAATATGAATGTAAGAAGAATCTCTTTGCTTTCCAACCTTCCTGCTCAACCTGGTGGGCTGGGAAGCAGGGAAGGGGCTGCCGTATTGGCGGTGGGGCTCACATATGCAGCTCATGCCCCTGGCATCCCTAAATGTCACACCTCATACATCTGATGAAGCAGGCTCTGGTATAGGGAAGCTTATATTTAATGAATTTTAAAATTATGTTAAGATGCTGGGAATCTTCCTGGAGCCTAATTATTATGGTACTTTTCTCCTTCCACTAGCTGTCCCTGCCCTCTTGGTTATGGGCAAGGAATTCTGGGGCTAGTAGTTCCTGAGTGAGCATTTCACATGAATAAGCACAAATCTGCCTGCCTCTCATCTGTGGAGGGGGGCTGTCTCTTGCACATTATGATCTGCTCAGATAGATTGGTCCAGTTCTGAGGAGGAGATGGAAGAGCAGCGGGGTGGGCAGAGGACTTGGCAATGTTGCAGTTACCTAGCAAACTTTCTCTGGCAGAGCTCAAAAACCAGCCTCCCTTGGAAAAGGAGGGACACATTTGAGAGCTGGATGGGGAGGGAATGGCAAACGAGTTCCTTGACCAGTAAGGAGACAGCAGGCAAAGCAAGCAGACCAATTGCAAATTGTCTGGTGTTCTTACTGGGTAGCCTGCAAACAGCAAAAGCTACCCTGAGGTGGACCCAAAAGCTTTGCTGAAAGGGAGGAGAGGAGTAGTAGTTTCACTTTGGATTCCACTATTTACATGTGCAGATGCTTCTCCCACTTCTCAAAGAGAATGCTGCTCTGACTGATCCAACCACTTTCAGGAGGGAGCTTCTCCAGCAGGGCTTCTGAGGAATATCTAAGTGAATGGCCAGTGCAGTATGGAGGAAGGGCGAACCTTCAGATATTTCTTTGGCCCCAGCCTGTCTTTCTTCTTCAGTGCTTTCTGATTACATATGGGTAGATAAATCAGGGCTCTAATATAGAGCATAGCTTCTCTGCATTGTTGTCCAAGTTCATGTGGCTAGGCAGAGATAGAAATAAATTGTAAGTGTGACAGTAGCTTAAACAAGGTGTACGTTTGTGGATGTTAGTTGGAAGAGTGTATAATAGAATGTATCATGAGAAAGTATAAGCAATAAATGACAAGGCATATGAAATAGGCTTATTCAGTAGCTGGCTTCTGGCAGTTAACTTCAAGTCTTCCATAGGGCTGGCTGTTCTCAACTGGAATGAAAGTTAAAAAAAGTGAATTTCACCTGAGGTAGAGAAGACAGTTGAATGTAACTGTTGCTTTGCTATCCACTTTCCTGACTTTTGGGTAAACTTCATATATTGAAGCTGGTGTTCAGTAAGATAAATATTTCCTTCTGATTTGTTCCCTAGGGTATTGCTACTTTTAGAATTGCATTGCAGGTAACTGTTTTTTTCTTCTTCTTGTAGCCTTGAAGAAAGATGATAATGGTGTTGATGAGGTAAGTTAAAGTTTCAGTTTCATTGTACTATGTCAAGCAGCAATATCTGACTTGTGGGCATGTTTATGTATACTGCAAACTTTTTCATTTTCCTGACCCTCAAATGCCACTGAGATGAGTGCCAGATTCCAAACAGGAACTGGGCCAGCTCTGCCCCTAGGCTGGGTCAGGCAGCCACCTCGGACAGTAGATCTTGTGTGCCATGAAAGGGCAGTAGATTTTCTAGTTTATTATGATAGTATTTTTGCTGCTAGGGAGGTGGAGAAGTGCTGGTCCAGTTTTTGGTCTGAGGTACAGGCCACTCTGAGTACTTTGAGCTGGAGCTGAAGTGTTGTTAGGCTTTGCTTCAGGCAGCAAAAAATCCTGGAGTGGCTTTGTGGCAGAAGCACATGCTTGTGTGGTGCCTTTCAATGAAAAAGTGCCTTAAATACTAAAGGCCTAGTGGGTTTTGTGGAAAATAAATGCGTACTCTGTATCCCAATCCTTGCTGTTCAGCACCATGTAATCTTGTTGAGCTGAGTTCTGAACACTTTTCTGGGGAAATGTGCTCACTTGCCAGTTCTGGTTTGTCCCACCACAACTAGCCCGCAGTGGTCAAAAAGTCCAAGATTGTTCCAGTAATGCATTTGTCTGGGTTTAATTTTCCTATGCATAATAGTATATCGTCTTCATCTTGCCAAAGTAAAGACATTTTAAATGTGCAAACCTGGATTTTTTGGTAAGAGGTTTCCCAAAAAGGAAAGAAAGAGAAAAGGGTTTTATTAGAGGATGAAAATCCAAACAAGCTTGCTTTTGTATCTTTTAAAGCATGGGTCCTCAAACCACGGCCCACCATGCCCATTTATCTGGCCCACGCTGCCACCCACGTGCTCACCGCATGGGCGGGAGGGCGGTGGCTTGCTCACTTGGAGATGGTTTTGGACTCACTGGGAGATCTCCGAGCGAGTGAGCTGCCGCCCCACGCGCCCAGCACCGCCTTGCGTGTGCCCGATGCCGCCTCACCAGTCCACGCGCCCAGGCACCCCCGGCTCACCAGCCTGTGCAGGTCACCTGGCCCCCTGTCGAAAAAGTTTGAGGACCCCTGTTTTAAAGCAGTGGTGGTCAATGAGTGCTCCCACGGTGTTTTGGCTTACATTCCCTATATGCCCAGCCAGCTTAGCCAGTTGTGAGGTACAAGGAAAGCTGAAGGCCAAAAATACCTGGAGAGCCACAGGTTGCATATGAAAACTGGTCTAAAACAAGCAAGCCTGGGTAGAGAGAGATAAGGAGGAGGGGCATTGTCAGCTCTTACTGACTGTTGAAATTTGCCTTTTGTATTTAGCTAACTCTTTCAGAGGGAAGTACAAGGTATAGCAAGGCTTTTGAGACCCCTGCTGATTGATCTGGGAGCTTTACCTTCTAGATAAGCTTGGCATAACGATGTGTGACGCTGTTTCATTTCACTTCTATTAACATTGTTCCCAAAGAATTTGTAACAATATAGGCAGCTGGTGTATAATGGTTCCAAAGATTTGGGTTCAGAACCAGAACAATTGATCTAGATGAGCTAAGTCTAGCAGTTCTAGGTTTAGCACTCTCAATTTTTAGGTCCTCTGCTCTGAAAATGTTGGGAGGTGAAGCATGTTGGCAGAGATAATGTAAACTGAAACTTTAAAGAAATGGGTGGGATATGGCATGCTGGAAATAAGACTGCCCAGGGACAATCCTTGCTGAATGTTTGGGTCTGTGCATATATACTCTGAAAGTACCAGAGGTGATGTCAGAGTAAGCACTGGAGTTGTTTCATTAAAAGCCTGTCTCATAAATGGCAGAAACAAGCCTGAATCAGGCTGTTCTTTTAATTGTATTATAAACCTGGAATGTATTTGGCTACTTTGTTTTTCTTCTCTGGAGATTTGATGGTTTACAATAAAATTGACAGGATACATAATACAGGAAGAGAATAATAAACTGTTTATAAAGTATTTGTATCAAACTAAATGTTGCTTTTAGAAAGTAACCAAAGGGTTCAAAACTTTATGGACAGACCAGTTATGTAACACTTGACATTCTTGCTTTTTGACCCACAAGCAGCATGAACCACTCTGAGTGTCGAGTCAAGACTGTAGGAAAAGGCACGGGAAGAGTGAATTGTTCCATTTTGGAATCAACTCTTTACATGGGCAGAAGCTAGTTCCACAGATTGGAGGGATCATACTTTGATTTATGCAACTTGTTAACATCTCTCAAAGAAAATCCCCTGTATCATTACTGAAGGTGTTATACACCAATGAAATACGGTATTTTATAAGCTTTTCATTCTGATTTGCTGGGAAGAAAAAGGGGATAGAAATATGGACATGACAGTATCCTTGGGCTTCTCTAGCTTCTTTCCCTCCTGCGCCAAAACACTTTAGCTAGATAGGCAAAAGAGTCTGTCTAGGAAACATGTAGGGTGGGAAGAGCAGTGAAGATCACTTCTGCTGCTTCTTGCCCCTTCAACAGGATGATCCTAAGTCTCCAAGTTTGGGAGCTTCACATCCCCATCCAGAGCGCAACCTGTGGGATTGTGACCTTGATGTGTTTAGTTGATACTTGATGGGGCGTGTGCTCTTAATTGAGTGAACAAGAGCTTCTTCACTGTAGCAAACACTTTATGGTTAGTCCTTGAAATGGAAGATTAGTTAACCTGCATTCTCTCTGTGTGCACAGAGTACTGAAAGTACCTAATTTGTCTGTCATTGTATATAGCAACCATTTAACAACAATAAGCATTAACATCTTAAATCACTTCAAAACACTTTGCATAGATTATCCAAGGAATCCTTATAACAACCTGTAAATTATCCCCTTATTTTGGGAGATGGGGAAGCTAAAAAAAAACCTGGCTTGTTCATGGCTACCTTATCAGTTCTTTGGCTGTGATGATTTTGAATGGTTGTGTATTTTTCCTACACTCTACATTGCATCAACATGGAACTCCGACAGAGTCTTGGCCTGCTGATTTTCATTGTAAGGTAATGGGCTTAGGGCACATAAACATATTTAAGATCAACAGCTTTGTGCCCTCTGGAAGCTGTGTACAGCTGGTTTTCTCAGTGGAGAGCAGGTGATACTGCTGATGTCTTCAAGCTCGGCTGCTGTCAGTTGTCTGAAGTACTGCTTAAGTAAGATAAATTCAGGTGCAGTGCTGAATTCTGAAGGACTGATTAACAAAAATGTGGGGATTGCATTGTACTATGTGTAAAGTTTAATTATTAATCTGCTTTCCCAACAACTTCCTTCCTTGCTAATGGGTAATCTTGAATGAGACCTAAACTGTTGAGCCTTGAATGGGATGTATAACACGCTAAGGGAGGGAATGTATAATGTATTCTGCATACCTCTTCCTTCTATATGCCACTGCAGACAAGGCACTGAATGGAAAGAGAAGTAAGAGAGGTATGGAATTATTCTTGAATCCTCTCTCTCTCATTCTCTCATTCTCTCTCTCTGTGTGTGCACGCGCGCGTAAATCCTTTTTCTTGAGCTCCAATTCCAGCGAAGGTTAATTTTGCTTTATTTTTAAAGTTTTGTCAGGGGAACCAGTTGCTAAGGGCTGACTAGGCAGTGTGTTGGGGAAAATAGTTGATCTCTAACCTCTCTGGTGGAAGGCAAGATGGCAACAATCAACTTTTTTGCTGTTTCTGTGCTTTATATAGTAAGCTATTGATTTTTAGACATGAACGATGCTTCATTGGCGAAAAGAGGCCGTTCATCTGCTCCTGCGCACCAGGATGATGGTGTAGAGACTGGGTCAGGAAATTGAAAAGAAGGGGGGAACAATCAGTGAAGTGCAAAGGGATCTTCAGTAAGTGGAGAAAGAAATGTTAGTGTGCTTTTGTGGAGAAAGTAATAGAGAATGATGTGTGTGTGTTGTGTTGGGGAGGCAATGTAGCACTGGGTTAACAGCAAAAGGAAAAGTTGAGCAATTGAGATCAAGAGCTGTCTAGTTTTCTCTGGAAACAACTGCACTGCATGGCATTTTTTCTCTTGTGTTGGCTCTTGGTACAAACCTTCTGCAGAAAATGGTCACTATTACATTTTAAACTTATGAGTTTCTTGGGGCCTGTTTGTTTTAAGAATTCTGAGCATGCGACATGCTTCATGGTAACTAATGATACTTTAATTTCTTGAAATAATAACAATATTGTGTTAATATGTGGAGGAAAGGGAGTGAGTTAACATAAGTAATAGGTGGCTTCACAGAAATTCCATATAAAATGAGTTGATATGAATGGACATCACAGTAATGGAAGTATACAAGGAATGGAGATAATTTAAGATGCCATATGTAAAGAAATGATTTGAGAGCACATCATTCCTTATTTTGGATAAGACGGATTTACTTATGTCACAATTTTATTCTATCCTTTCTCCAAAGAGTTTTCTCCCCAAGTTACTTTCTCAACAACCCTGTGAAGTGTGTCAGGCTGAGAGAGTGACTGGCCCCTGGTCACCTGATGAGCTTTGTACTTGAATGGGGATTTGTATGAACTCTTTCTGGTCATAATTCAATACTCTGCTCCAGGAATAGGGAACCTTTTTGGGCCATGGGCACCTATGGCCATTTGAGAAACTTCTGGGTACCACCACAAAATGGCCACATTGCAGATGAAAGCATCTACTACTTTATCTTCATTCCCCAAAAGTTTCTCTGAACCTATGTGTGGTGCAGATGGAGGCCTGAAACAGAAGGTGGGAGCAGCTAGAGGCTCCGTTCTTGTTTGAAGCATCCCAGCTACGGACAATAAACTATTACTATTTTTAAATGGTTATTTTAAAGAGAGAGGAGTAGGACACCTCAAGAGCGGCTGAGGTGAAGTGCTGCTGGTGGGTGCCAAGTTGCCTGTTTCCACTCTATCCACGACATCCGATTGATTTGAGGTGTGCGTGACACATGCAGGCATGCCTGTGGCCTTGACCCAAGATCACATTTCCATTTATAGGAGTTTTAGTTTAATCATAAAAGATATATATGA